TCTGAGGATCTGGAGGACCTGTGCTTGAGCAAAAAGCCGGACACCTGTGCACCGACGGCGCGCCTCTGTGTAGGCTTTGGATATCTCCTCCAGGCGTTGGGTCCGGCCTGACGATGCCCCAAGCCCATACCTTAGACAGAGCAGCATCGGCATATTGAGAAACCTGCTCGACAGGTCGACTCAGCCCGGTGCATGGCAACACCTTCTGCTCAAAGTCGCAAGTTCCCAGTCCAGGGGTTCAGCGGGTTCAGCATGCTCCATGGCATTGCCAAAGCTCAAAGGAGTGTTGCGTGCGTTGCTTGTTGGGGAATCCTGAAAATGGGCCTGGTTTCCTTTGGGTTTCCTCTCAACCACACCAAACGAGTACTGAGCCTCAAAAAGATACAAAGGTACCACCCCCCCCCCTTTGTTTTGAGGGGGTCAATCTTCTGTTTCTCTGGAGCTCTTCTGCGCAGCTATGTGCATGACTCCACATGCACGTTCTGCCGATGGCTTCAGCAAGGAAAGGAAGTGTTCAGCTTACAAGCATACAAGACAGGAATCCGGCTTGGCAGCCCGAGGCCACCGCGAGCGTGAGTCAGAATAGGAGTAGTCGGAGTAGCTAGGCGAACGCCTCGCAACGACTGAGATGAATGCAACGTGCCTGCTTCAAGTGGTAATTCTGCTTGGCAAGTGCCCTGTCCCCCGAACCAAGGCCTTCTTCTCTTCTTGTCTCGGCCTTTGCCAGTGAGAGTTCCAAGCCCAAGCCAGTCTTCAGCCAAGATGACTGAAATATGAGCAACAGGTTGTGGGTCAGTCCAGCCCCCACTGTTCGTGGTAAGATCTGCCGACGCTAGTTGAGCGTGCAAATGCAGGGGCTATCTTGGGTCTGGAATGGGTGTCATTGTCCGGAATCCTTTTCAAAGCCAAGGATTTTCAGGCTCTGCAAGGCAGACTTCACGTCCCGGCATCCTCAAGGTAAGTTCGGAGAGTCCTTGTTTTGTCCATTTCTGGCCTTGGGCGTCGTTGCTTTGATTTCTACTGGGGTCTGGGATCTAGATCTGAAATTGCGGCCTTCTCTCGGAACCCGCATGGGATCCGCACAAGTATACTCACGGGTGCTCAAAACCATCCCCAGCATCATGGCCTGGAATTGCAAACAAAAAGCTGATCTTGCTGCACGGCCTCCTCATCCCGTTGGCGATGCTTGGTCATTGATGTAGGCTCGGTCATTTCGCAGGCTCTTGGTACTGCTATGGTGGCTCTGCTCTTGGCTTGGAAAACCATGGTAGGTTCGTTCTTGGGTCTGGAATGGATCTCTTCCTTCCAAATCCTGGTCAAAGATGAAGGATTTAAACGGCATCTGGTTTATTTAATTCTCGTGCCTCCGCAAGGGATTGGCCTCAGTAGGTGGGATTCGGATATGCAAATATGCGGTTCCTCGGATTCCTCGGAGGTGCCAGTTACTTCAACAATGACTTCAGCGTCAAGGCTTCAGCATCTTGATCTCAAGTTTTGTCAGGTATTGTCATGGCTGTCGGGCGCATACTACACCAGACAATACCCAAGGACAAGGCACTGCAACAGGGCTGCTACTCAAATGATCTTTGGCAGTATGTGGTACTTGCACACCGGAGCATACTGATTGGGGCCCAAGTGCCAGCCAAATAGCAAGCGAAATAGGGATGACTAGGTAGTTCCCCCCATGTCCTCCTCGAATAAACCATAAAGAGTTTCAGTATCCTTCAGTATGCTCCATATTCAAAGTAACTTGTGCCAGTCCTGGCCGCCTAAGCTACTCGTTTGCTCCGGCCTCCGCCGCGCCGACTTCGACTCCTTCAGACAGCGCAAACGCAGCGTCACTCTCAAGCATCAGCACTCTAGAAAACGCTGCCATGCTTCTGCATTGGACGTTGAAAGCTCAGGGAGAAAAAACTTCACAGTTCAGCCATGACTTGAAATGGCATCTTGGAGTTGCGTCACAAATCCCTGATTCTGATTTGCAGCATGATCAAAAGCTGCAGCACATGTGGCTCGCGTGGCTGACGGAGTCCTAGAGTCCCGGCGCGCTGGCGGCGGGCCGCGCCGCGGTTCGCCTCCCTTCGAAACCTGCACGGAACGGTCCCCAACTTTTTGTTCACAGCTGCTATGGCACCTCGACGCGGATACGCTCACCACCCACTTTGGCTCCATCTAGCTCTTTCACAGCATCCTGCCAGGCTGAGGTGCACAGCCGCAATGCGCTTGTTTCCTGGCCCATGACACAAGGCCTTAGAAGAGTGCTGCTGTCCTGCGCTTCTTTCTCATCATCCATGGTGACAAACGCAAACCTTAGTAACACTTGCGATTTTAGTTAGGCGCACAAGCTAGCGGTGCAGACTGGCCACCCTGGGGGCTGCCTGGCAATCCAAATATCTACCACCCTGCCGAACTTCTCGAACTTCTCCTGCGCATTGGATTCACGTGAGCGCGCACGTGGATTCTGACCGTTCAGGATGTCCTCCAACTCATTTCTCTCCACCTGCCATATTAGGCACGGTCAAATAGTGCGATTCCCTGGCTTTGTTGTAGGGAAATTGGCAAACGGACCATATACTACCGGATACTTTGAATGATAAATGCCCGAAGCGCGCTGCAAATCTTTCGGCGCAATGTCATGCTTACATCTTTAGTCCTGGTATGGCAGCTTTGGCCAAGGGGATGCACAACATTGGCCGTTGGTTTGCTTCAGGCGAGTGCCAGGTTCATTAACTGCTGCAGTGTGCGGGGCTTTGCCGGCACTGCACTCGAGTTGCCTCTTGTGGCTGTGGGTTTACTTGGCATCCCATCCTCTACACATGATCCAGCCATATTAAAAAGGCGCCTCATGCATTGACATTATCAGCTAAAAGCATCGTAGGTTGATATCCAGGCAGGATATTGTGCTTCTCAACTGTAGCTGTCCTATCCGAAAAAGGCAGTGTGAATCTCGCCGCCATCTGCTAGTTGCTGGGAATTTGAGGGGCGAGTAATTTCCGCGAAACCCTCAGGCAAATCTCATCGTGCCCAGCACCACCGGCAGCGGCTTTGGAGTAGCGGCCTGAAAGCACTGAGATGGCACATGACAGCCATGCAGCTTCAATTCAAACAGCGACAGCTTTCCTGCCTGCTTGTTGGGAAGAAATCGCAAATCTGGCGGAGTAGGAGAAAGCGCATGTCTAAGAAACTCTTCGCTGGGCTCTGAGTCCCCCCCCCTCCCCAGGCAACCGTTCCCCCTTTCCGCCTGGGCGCATCGGCGAACAGGGCTGGGCACATGAGGGCCGGGAGACGGGCCTCGGCGCCTGAGGGAAACTGATGACGAAAACGCGAAAACGAAACTGATGACGAACCCGTTGCCTGACTGCCCCTGTGACACGTGACACGAGTCTCGCTGTCTACAGCCCCGGGCCCGTCGGCCCAGCTCACGGGCTTGGACTGAACCGCTCCGCAAGTGGTCCTGGCTCGCAAGGCAAGAGGCCTTCAAAGCCGGAAGCTGAAAGTTTACTCGGAAGGCGCATAGGTTGCTCCAACCACCAGGGTTTGTAAAGTAGGCACTATCGCAACATTCAGAAGCACGTTGTAGTCACCCGAGTCCTGAACAACCAACTGCAGCTCGCCTTGGCCAACGTGCAAGCTGTCTTGAAGGTTGGATGCAAAATGTGCGCAGCCTTCGTAACGTCACATCTCCCCTTTCAATACACGACTGAAAGGAATACGTGCTAATCCTGATCCAGAGGTAAGATGCCACACCCCACTTTGGAACAGGTAGGAGTACGGTGGAACTCATTTACATGCAAATTTTGCTGTTCCTCCCCAAATCCGAATCTTCCAAATTGCCAAATCGAAAGGAGCTTCGCCCTTGGTCCCCAAGCGGTCAGCCAGCTTGGCGCAGCTCTCCCGCAGGGGCAGGAGCTGCTCCAGGGATTGGAGCTGTTGTGCCTCGCTCGGCGCCGTCGTGAGCGGAAAATGGGAATCTCATCAGTTTTTCGTGAACGGTCGAGAGGGAGATACTTGGCGCGGGGCATTCAATCTTGGAACAAAGCAACAGTTTTGCCGCATCAACCCAGGCCCAAAGCTGCACCAGTGCGAATCGCACGCCCTTGTCCGGACCCAGCACCCCTGCGAGACATAGATTTATTATATATGTATTGCTGATCTGCGAAGCATCAGAAACCCACAATTACTGGCTCTAACTAACTCCAACAAGCGCCGTTTCAGCCGAAATAATTGATGGTCCTTCAAACTCTGGGCTTTAAGATGTGCCACGCCTCAGCCTGGTCGACCTGACTGGTCAGCTGCTGCACCTAAACATGCCAAGCAAAGAGACTCCGCGGCTGACGGAAGCGCTCATTCCACAAAGACAAACCGGTCAAACGCAATAGAAAGTGCAAGCAAGACCCAGATACTCAGATACTCAGATACTTATACCAGCACTTGAACGGCCAACTCTGGCACTCAGCTAGCCTCAGCCTCCTCCCGCTCCAGGTCTTCCAGCACCTGTGCATTGCGCGTGAAGAAAACCCACTCACCCAGATGCTTGAAGACAGCGCTGGATCGGCGCAAGTGATCCTTTGTCAAGTTCACACTGAGAATTCTCACTTGGAACGAACTTCTCGTTCTCCGTGAGATGCAGTGCCTCCAACTCTGCAGGCTTTGCGTGCCCCGAGGGCCCTGGCCTTGCGGTGGCTGGACTTGGCGAGCTCCCATTCTGCCTGGGGAAGGCTCCCTTGACCGCAATGTTTTCACTGGCGGCAGAGGGCGCTTGCCTTGTTCATTTAATGAGGCTATGGCACACTAGCACTGTGCACGCAGGGAGATTCGGGCTTAAGCCTTTCAGGTTGGGTTGTCAAGGGGCGCGACTGAAGTCAGGTCTACTTCCAAACTGGAATGACTGCCAAGAGATGTGTTCTATCGAGAAATGAAGCTCTATGTTTTTAGGCATGAACCAATCAAGAAACCCCACCTCTGCTTGCTGCTGTGTCTGTTTCCAGCACATGAGCTCGCGCATCAGGTGCTCCTTCCGGGCAACCGATCGGAGGCCTGCTATCCACTGCTCTTAGTCTGACACACCAAAGACCAAGGCAGGCTGTGGTGACAAGCGTAAAACGAACAGTTGCTTCAGGAAGCGCCGCACGAGGATTTGGGCATGCTTCGCAACTTTGCGGCTTTGGGATTGTCCGAGCGCCTGATGACCACGAAAGCCCTTCAGCTTCGCCATGCACCTGAGCTCTGATCGTGCGTTCGTCAAGCAACATAGCCTGACACATCAAAAATCAGGTCTGCAAAGGAAGCCTTTGCATCTGGCATCTGTGATCAGTGATCATGCCCCTCCCCGCTTTCGCCAGTGAAAACAGATTCCTGTTTGAAGGCGCTCTGAGTTGCAAAAGGCCGGAAACTCTCCCCTTGGCGCCCACACCCCTGCGAGGCTAGCCGCAGCTCCGCAACAAGCTCCTCAGGGCTGGCCCATGGAGCCAGCGTGACTGAAGATAACACACCGCACCAGAAATGTCGGCAGCTGCGCACGAACTGCCGTGTGGTGGGATTGTGCCCTTGATGCTCTTTCTGTTGGGCAGTTTTCACAAGCTACCTCAATTCGAGAAAGCCTCAAAAAAAAGAAGGCAAAATATGCTGAAATGGTGCACATCGTTCATCGTGCAGTGAAAGAAGGCTACAATCAGGGAAGGGCGGGTGGGGAGTCTCGACTGGAATGTCTGCTTCGCTGGCACATGTGCTAACCGCAACAAGCTCTAACCGTGGGACCCGCAGGATCCGCGTGGATGCCACAAAGCCAACAAACGACAAGAGTCAAAGTGGCATTTCCGGGCCTTGTAGCGATGCGCCTCTTCGTGGTCAGCCTGGAGCCTCCAAAGCGCTGTGGCAAATCGCATCTCGGACAAGGTGCACTGGTTGTTTTACGTCGATTGAGCTGCACATTGGATGCCAGAAAGAAGCAAGCTAGCAGCAAATTGCAGGCAGCCTCTTTGCTGGGTTGCTCTCCGTGCACCTTTTTCTGACTCAGCCTCTTGATTCATCAGCCAGCACACATTAATTTGCGCCTTTCCGCGCACGCCAGCCAGTAATGGTATTCATGGCTGGCCAGTCTTTTCATTCACTGTCACGAAGGAGAATTACAGCACATAAACATTAGCAAAGTTTGGGCCTGCTATCTCCGATAGGCAGAGAGTCCATAAACGCCTTTTGCGAGCCATGCATGCAGGGCACATCGCTGCGCTTCGCACGTCTGCGTCTCTGGTCTAGCGCTGATGGCCGCGCCATGCATTTTCCTCCTGGCACGTCATTCTAAAGGCCATCTAAACAAAGCCTTATCTCATTGGACCCAGTGTGACAAGTCAAAGCAGCCTGAAAAACAAGAAGGGCCGAAGCAACACTCTTCTTCGTGAGCTACTCTCTTCACGAGACACCAACTTGGCATGTCAGCAGACTGCTTAGTTCTCAGAAAAAGTCTGAAAAAGCGCGCTTTTTTCGTGTATTGTGACATGGGAATCGGCTGTCGTCAAGAAACTGCCTAGGACTGCAACCAGGCCCCTGCCTCGCGGAGGACCGACCCCAGGCAATCAAACTGCGCAAAGGCCAGGTCCGTCGATTGCTCCCCTGCCAGCGCTGCCACTTCTCATAAAGAATCTAAAAACCCTCCCGGTGATTTCAAAGAACTAAATTCGGCTCACACCTTCAGAGAAGTCAAGATCGGCCCGAAAGCATAAGTCCAAGTGCGCGAAGCATGTTCGCAAGTTTCTCTGCACAAATTGTCTGAACAATTTTCTCTGAGCAAGTGCGTCTGAACAAGTTGTCTGAGCAAGCTTCTCTCAAGTTCTCTGAGCAAGTTTTCTGCGCAAGTTTCTCCGCGCTACAAATTTCTCTGCTAAAGTTTGTCTGCCCAAGTTCTCGACGCAAGTTCCTCTGCGCGAGTTATCGACGCATGTTCTCTGGGCAAGCTCTCAGCGCATGTTTCTCCGTGCAAGTTGTCTGCGCTAATTAAGCTGCGCCAGCTCTATGCCTATGCGCAGCTGTCTCTCTGCGACTTGTTCTGCACAATCTTCTTGCGCGGTGTGTTCGTGCGAGTTAGCAGGCGATTCGTCCGGAAGAACCCTTCTCAATGCTTGCGGGAAAAAGGACTGTTTGGAGGTTTCCACGCCCTTCCCTTAAGGAGTGCAGTTTTGAGATTCATATTGTGAATCATCAATGTGTCACGTATCGTTCCTACTGCAAGGCTGCAACGCACCCCTTGTTCTTTTTCCTCCCTCATCATTCATAGTCTGCACTGCCCGTGCCTGTCACAACCCTCATCACCTGAGGGATAATGCTTTGGATTTCCACGCGTCTCCTGCATGGACTGTGCTTAGAGGGGGCCACCGGTCAACTCCGGTTGGGATGCCTCTAACATCCTTAAAAAGTTCCCCTCCCCTCGAAACCTTGCGCAAACCCCAGTCCCAGCGGGACCTTCAAAGTTGTCGGTCACTGGACGCCAGGCCAGACAACTAGGGC